GGGCCCCCTGCACCTGACTCAGAAGGGCCTGTCGGACAGGGAGCTCCCATGGCCTCCCAGCCAGGAGAGGTACCACCTCAGAGAACAATGTCATGTGGGGCCAGTTCAGGGCCATCAGGATCAGCTACACTTCCTCCTTCCAAACTCTCTGCTGCAGATTTGGGATAAGAGTGAACAGGGGGAAACAAATACAACAGGCCTTGAGACCATTGGTGTGCCATGGCATCAATGCCTAGGGGGGGAGAGTCCCACCCTATGGAAAAGAACAGGTTGGCCACTGCTCTGCTGAAATAGTGCCAGATCTTCCCGACCACTTCCGGGTGCAGCCTCCAGTCCCCTGGACTTGGGCCTCCCCTGGAATGTTGGTCCGCCCACTGGTTCACCAATCTGGGCATGTGCATGGCCCTGAGGGACAGGAACTGTGTCATTGCCCAGGTCAACAGCCTGTGTGATACTCTGCAGAGGTTTGGGGAGCTCAGACCCCCTTGCCCATTGACATATGCTGCTGCCACTGTGCTGTCGGTTCTTACTAGCACGTGACAGCCTTGCAGACTCGGGAGAAAATGCTGGAGGGCCAGGTAAATGGCATCAGTGCACCTGGTGAAGGTATGGGGTGCCAGTGAGATGCCGAAGGGGAGGCGTCCTTGATGTGAACGGTTGCAAACCAGTTGCCTACCTGGTATGCCTGCTTGTCACATTTCACACTTCAGGGGCCTGGGGAACTTGTTCAGCCCCCTGAAGTTAAGACAGGCCTGAGCATCCTGTCCCATTTCAGAACAAGAAAATAGCGGGAATAAAACCCTGCCTGTCTATCTTCCTTCTTCAGTTACCTGATAGCTGACTTCGCCATGAGAGTGAAGATTTCTGAGCGCAGGACCTCCCTGTGCTGGTAGTCTGCAATAATGGAAAATGCAGCCACCCTCGTCAGAGGAGGAGTGCTTCAGAACTGTAAATGATACCCCTGGGTTATTGTTGAAACAACCCAGGGATCTGCCCCCAGAGCCTCCCAAGCCATCTGAGGGCAAGGGAAAGCCCTGATTAGACTTGCCGTGCTGTGCTGCATCCAGCCGGCCCCACAGATCTTCCTGCCCCCAAGCAGGCTGAGGTTACTTGGGCTGCTGCGGCTGAGGTTGCTGCCAGCCCTGACATGGCTTCAAGGTGCCTGACACCTCCTTAGCACAGTGACGGGCTTCCTGGCCCTGCTGAATCATCATGGATGCATAAGGCCCAAACAAGGTAGATGGCTCAACAGGCAGTTTGGGCAGACATGCCCTATCCTCTGGCAGCAGCATGGACTGTGACAGCCAGAGATGGCGCCTGGCCACCCAAAACCTTGCCATAGCACTACCAGCCACTTCACCTTGCTCTCTCATGAGCTTGGAATAAGTGAGGAGACACATTGTAGTTCGGCTATTAGATCCATACTACACCCTTCCTCTAGCTGGCCAACCAGATTGTGCTGGTACAGGGACGGTATGGCACCCATGTTTGCCAGCTGTGTCTGGACTGCCATGGCTCCATGCATTTTTCCCAACAAGCCATCCATTGCCTTGCAGTTACTATTTGAGCAGTCCGCCTTGCCCATGATGGACTTTGATGGAGCCACCAAGGCTGCCACAGCCTGATCATGGGGGGTAGTGGCCCACAGCCTATCCTCCCCCGATTATCCACTGCAGCCATACAACGACAGAACACTCACGCAAGTTGCAGAACACCTTAGAGCTTTTGCAAATTGAAACACTTAATTCAAAACGATACAATAATTTATAGAAACCCAGTTATGTTACTGCAGGGCACACACATAGTTCTTCTGTTCTGATTCTGTTTGTAGTTACACACTGCTGTGCTCAATGTAAAACAAGTTTAACATTACTCTGACTTTTCTGATGATAGAGTCTGGATTTGATTTTTTCAGATATATTGTTAAAGTACATACATTGATTGATTCTACTACTGCAAGGGTATAACTGCTGAGGCTTGACTGAACTCTCTGTCCAACATCTCCCAATGTCTACCATGGTTTACAACATGATCAACTAATGTATCTCCAATTTCATCTGAAAAATTTGGTCCTTGTCTTCTTTGTCCAAGTGTGGTCTTTTGAAAGGCGATACCTTAAAATGGCAGAGAAGTGACATGTTGGATTTCTTTTTGTAATGCAGAGAAGTGAATAAAGTAATTTGCAAAGCACTGTGAATTGGGCTTTACAAACACTATGAGGCTGAAAATGTCTCTATAGTTGTGCACATCTGGAGGTATTGCTCCCTGAATTTTAGTGTGTAAATAATCATAAAATGATAATAATACTAATAATAATGATGATAATAATAATAATAAGAAGAAGAAGAAGAAGAAGAATATTTTCCTCTGCCCCCTGAAACACACACACAATCCCTTTTAGGTAACCCAAAAAGCTTCAGTATTAGATTTCAATGCGTTCTCATCCGAGCTCCTCAAATAACGTTTTGTCAGTTGACTTTCATGCCTACATCATAGCATCATAGACTGTATATAAAGATGGACAACATGCCTGTTCCCAAAAGTGACGCTGAAACATCTCAATCAACCCCTGGTGGCTGGCTGCAGTATAGGTTATAAAGCCCACCCTCTCCATGTTAGTTGTTGGGACATGTGTTAAAGTAAAAACTCCATCTCATTTTCGTGAACGCAGTATCTCAAGAACACCTTGAGGGAATTTCTTTGCATTTGGTACAAACGTTTACTTGGAGTCAGTGATGAACTGAGTAGACTTTGGTGGTCAAAGGTCAAGATCACTGTGACCTTGTCAGTGTCATTTTTATGAATGCAATATCTCAAGAACACTGTGAGAGAATTTCTTAAAATTTCACACAAACGTCCACTTGGACTGAAGAAAGAACTGATCTGAATTTTGTGGTTGATACTGAATTGGTGACACTAATCTTGGATGTCCACCTTGAAACTGTGCTGACTGTATAAATCTTCTTTGATGTCGGGGGAAGATGTGTGTAAAGCATCCATGTTTTTCATAGACATGGATGTAAACTGTAAGAGAAACTTGACTGGTGAGCAGAGGCATACAAGGGGCAGTAACTCTAGTTTTAGGTGTTTTAAGAATGTGTTTTATTGTTAAATAATTATAAACCTGTGGGGTTGATGTTGGATGAGTTGAACTTTGGACCACCTATAGAGAAGAAAGTTGTAGTTTTTTCATGTTTCTTTTTTTTAGGGCAGGGTTACACACTGACTGCATGTTAACACTGTGAGCAACATGATTGGTGTGACAGATAGACCTCAAGTTTTCAACTGTTTCTCTACACTGGTATATACTCCACACATATGTGTTAAACAGGCAAATTATGTATTCCTCAGTTAAGTTATTCAATGTGTGATGAATATTTTCAAGAACAACGTATTAATATAACTGTTCTTTAGGAATCAGACTTGCTCACTACGGATGAGCCAATACACCATTACCTGTATCTGTTTATCCAACAGATGATCTGTATCTGTAACTGTGCATGAAATGGGTGGAGTTTAAACCCTGCTAGGGGAAGTATGCGCTCAGAGCTATCTGCCAGAAAGCCCTTTCTTGGTAAGGTTTAGGAAAAAAAAATCATGGTTTGGGTTAAAATAAAAAGATTTGTGCCAGAAAGGCCTCTGTGGCACTAAGTCCTGAAGGCTAAATTCTCATGCGTGCCTTTTTAATCATTTTATATGTGCAGTTTAATTTTTTTATTTTAAGCCTGAAATTGATATGGGTTGATCAGTATTTATTATTTATTCGAAAACTATGTACAGGACAGCCTACGAAAACCCTGAGAGAGAAGATGAAAAAATGTAATGAAAACAAATGTATTCCCTTTGTACAAGATAGACTTTTAGGCTTAATTAGAGGCCATACACATGCCATATTTTTAATCACCTGGAAAACGTAAGGTCAGGTGCTGGGTGCTACTCCTGTGCCATTTCTGTACTAGCTTTCAAGAACGCAGCGGTAGGGTGCGTGTGAGGTTGCTAAGCAGCTTCTGATCTTCTTGCAGGTGCTGTATCTGTCTAGGTCTTTTGTCTGTGGGATAGATGTAAAGCCCTGCACTAAAATGATCAACCTCTTCTCCATATTTATCACAGACTGACACACAAAAGTGGAACTCAGTTCATCTCAGGGTGCAGCTGATGCACCCTGAAAAATAGGTCTACATTGAAAATAATGTATTTGAGGGAGCCTTTAACCACCTGAAAAACGTGAGGTCAGGCACTGGGCACAACTTTTGTGTCTTTTTTGAACCAGCTTTCAAGAGTGGGTTGCATCTGAGTTTGGTAAGCAACCCTAACAAGTACTGTATTTACCTGCGACATGCAGTGCATGCCTTGTGTCTGTGAGGGAAATTCCCCTCTCTGAACAAGTGACAGACACATTGTGAGGAATCAAGTCTCTTTAATACATGCAGCATGGAGAGAAGATGCAAGTGTTCTCTGACAACCTTCAGAATGTAAAGGACAATTCGCACAATAACTGCCTGTCTAGGTTTCCATGCGTGCACATACGCAGGGAATGAGTGAAGGAGCAGAAGAAAGAGAGATTAAGTCATGCTTTTTAGTTTGTTGTTTTTTGCGCTAACATTACCGATATAATACCACCATAAAACTCTGCTTAACCTAAGCTTCTACTAAATTTTCTTTTATTCATCTTGCCTCTCAGTGTTTCTTTAACAGACTCAGAATTGAGCATCAAATTATTTTTGATATCCAGAGTAACAGATTGAACTACTACCCAGACGAGGTTTTTCTTTCATCACAATTACAGATATTGACACATTTTACTCAGATGATACTTGTGGTCATAAAAAATACATTATCCGTAGGAGATACTAGATTCGGCTCAACCCTGTTGCTCACAGTGTGAATACATGTGCATCTCAGCTTGCAGCTTGCCTCACACAAACCACTGTATATGAGCCACGCAGAGCTTCATGGCTTCATCACACTCACCAAAACATTTTCTCTCTGTTAACAACCAGCAAAGGAGCATGTTCGGCGCAACCGGCAGAGCCGCACCTTTTTGGTGGAAAATGTCATAGGGGAGCTTTGGTCGGAACTGGAAGAAGGTAGAGTTCTTCTCTTCTTTTACTCTTCTGATCTGATTTCCTTTCCCTCTTCCTCTTGGGTAAACGCTCTTGCTGTTTCCCGTGCTGCCAGTCTTTCATATCAGTTACTTAGGTATTGGAGTTTAGTAGAAATAGAGCATGCTGTTCTTTTTTGGGGAGCTGTAACAGTCTGGAGATCTGTAGAAAATGTAATACCACTGGTAAGGCATCATGTAATGATTTTAATTAACATTTTTAAATTAAATGTTATCTTTAATATCATATTTTTCATATGTTATTTCATAGTTTGATAACAATTTTGGTTGTACAAAATTTAATGTACAGTGACTGTGCATGTCTCTAAGAAAGTCCTGTAATATAAAATGCGGTATATTACAACTTGGTTTTTATTTTCTAAGCACTTGCCATTGGTTTTGTCAGTTATGTTAACATTGTACACACCCAACTGATCGCTGAGATCTGGATATATGGCAACATTGCTAAAAAAAAAAGTCCAACAGGTCAAGAAACAACAGCAGGCAGATGATGAGACAGACAGAAAAAACCTTCCTGTTTGTCAAATGTATTTGGAGAGAAAACAAAGGGGAATTGTCAGATTATAACGCACCTGTAAATATTCATCACAGTTTACAGATGATGGTCTGGTTTACCTTAAGCTCCATTTTTAAACACTTTCGGTATAGTACCTTTAGAACCAAAAGTAACCCTTCAGACATGGTACCTAGACCCTAGGTCTGTTTAGCATTTCCACTGCAAACAGTACTTGTTGTCACTCACTGCACCGTCCAGCTCATGCTGTATCTCGTCATCATCTGTGACACAGAGGAATGTCTGTACTTTGTTTATCGTCCACGGAACGAAGTTGGAAGCCAACATAGAACACAAAATAGAACAGGCTGCAGTGAGAGTCTCTCTCCGTGGAATATTTAAAAATAGGGCATTAATGCATTTAGTCCTTCTCAGACAAAGTTATTATATGTTTTTTATATATTTTTAAACGCATAAAGATCCACTCATTACTCTTTTAAGAGTATGTCATTCATGAGAGACAAAAAAAACTAATGGAATGGTCTAAATTTAAGATGTGCTGATGAATTCACAATGTCAATTTTGCATTTATGCATTGAGTAACATTACCAGTAAATCTTCCACCTTAAAAGCTGTTGGCAGTCGACCCAGTGAATTAAGTTATTTATTTCTCAGTCTACAGCTGCTGCGAGAGGCAGCAAAACATCATTACATTTTATAGTTATAGTTTAATAATATATGTAAGACTTGCCACGGTATGAACAGTGGTTTAACTTCAAAACCAGCCATAGCGCAGCCCTGAGCAAGAGTGACTGTCCTCTTTCTCAATCAACAGACTGCAGTGTCTGCACTAGTACCAGATCTATGTGCTAGGTACCCCAACAGAGAGATGACTGAAAATGGGGACGGTAAGGAATGGTTCCATTGGTACCATCCACAACTTCTCACAGTGGAAACAGAAAAATGCATACCAAACTGAACTGTATTGGACTGCTTGGTGAAAACGTGACTTTAGACTTACTGTACTTACCGAGTTGTGCACACACAGTTTTCACGTGCAAAGGAGAATAACAAGTAACATTTCACTTGCCCTCATTTTTCAGTATAACAGTTTAATAGAAATGATGGCCAGACTGAAGTTACAATAAACCTAAGCCTTAAAGTCCTTATACTGCTTAATATGTAGTAATCAAATAATACAGTAGGATGATCAATGATCAAAATTTAAATTTAATCCTAATGAACCCATTAAGTCATCTTGTTGAGAAGACAATTCCAGATCAGTAAACTGCATACAACGTTCATATCGGCTTAACAAATCATAGAAAACAAGCCCGAAAAGGGATTTTAAGATTGCACTAATCAATCAATTCAATCAATTTTATTTATAAAGCCCAATATCACAAATCACAATTTGCCTCACAGGGCTTTACAGCATACAACATCCCTCTGTTCTTAGGACCCTCGCAGCAGATAAGGAAAAACTCCCCCCAAAAAACCCTTTAACAGGGGGAAAAAAATGGTAGAAACCTCAGGAAGAGCAACTGAGGAGGGATCCCTCTTCCAGGACAGACAGACGTGCAATAGATGTCTTACAGAACAGATCCACATAATAAATTAACAGTAAACCGTATGACACAGTGAGACAGAGACAGAGACAGAGAGAGAGACAGAGAGAGATGCAGGACAGACGGTAATGGTAATAGCTGACCAGGCTCTGCAAATGGCACAAAAAACACTTCACTTTTGTTTACATTCAACAGTGTTGTCAAACACAACAGAGCTAGCTCACCTTTTTGCCTCATTGTAGCCCGTAGCTCTAACTGCCTCTCTGGGCACTGCGTTCTTGTGTGTGTGCTTGCTTTCGCTGGTCTCGCGCTGGCTGGGTGGTGCAGCCTGGACCACAATGTTTTTGTTGCCATTTGCGGAGCCCGGGCTGCCTACAGAGACCGGACTTTTTCATAGTATATTCAGAGGACATGTAGCTAGCGGATTGTGAGGAGATGTTTACTATATGTGACAAAAACTTTTCAAGCTTAGGAAGACTTAGAGAGCCTTTAAGCTAGGTTCATTTCTACCACTCACAGACTATAGGCTACCCACCTTTCTTGGAGAAAAACTGGCTCACATATTGACACCCTTTCTTTTGCCTCTCCTCTCTCTCCTTTCTCTCTTTCCTTTTGTGAAAACTGGATTTTCTTTTAGTACCAGGTAGCATGATGATGACTGTAGCGTTCTAGCGCAACTGCTGACTGCTACTAGGCACGTCACCATCAGTGCGCTAAGGCAGGACCAGATTTCATGCAGATACAGGGGAGTGGTCAGTCAATATGGATGGTTCCTTTTTGGTCAATGGGGATATTTAACTTTTACTGCCAAAAAAGTAAAAACAAAGAGATCATTAATTTAATTACTATATCTGAAAAAAAAATCTTAATGATGATGGTTTAATAATTTTATATTATTTTTTACCTATTTACCTACCATATAGAAAAAATAGCTGCCAAGACAGCCACAGAAATGTAGTTCAGCAGTGCCTGGTTGAAAAAGCTGAAGTGTCATAAAGGAGAGAGTCAAAGAGTCATGTCCAGCCTCCCTTGAGAATGTTCCTACAAACAGCAGAATTGTGGTAGATAAGAAGCAGTGTCTGCATGTCAGAGCAATGAGCCCTGTCAGAGAGGATGCTATTTGATAACAAGCATTTTGATGCTTGTTATCTTGCTCTGTGCAGGTGACCGTTATGTGGTGGTGGATTGTGGCGGAGGAACAGTGGACCTGACTGTCCATCAGATCCGTCTTCCAGAGGGACATCTAAAGGAGCTCTACAAGGCCTCAGGTAAAAAGGCATACCACATAATTTCTATCTGCTTTATGCAGCTGAGTTTTCATCTTGTTTCATTTGATTCACAATCACAATCCCTTCTTTTGCCAGGTGGTCCCTATGGCTCTATCGGGATTGACTATGAATTTGAGAAGCTGCTGTGTAAGATCTTTGGCCAGGATTTCATTGACCAATTTAAGATCAAGAGGCCAGCCGCTTGGGTGGACCTGATGATTGCGTTTGAGTCTCGAAAGAGGGCAGCAGCCCCTGATAGAACCAACCCCCTCAATATTAACCTGCCCTTTTCCTTCATTGACTACTACAAGAAGTTCAGGGGCCACAGTGTGGAGCACGCACTTCGCAAAAGCAAGTGAGTACCTAAAGAAAACCACGGCGAGTCCCTGACATATTGGAATGAGTGTCTGTATCACCATGAGTAGAAATAAACTGGTAAGATAAGATGGAGGGTAAATTACTGTAAAACTTCAATTAAAATCCTAGTCCTAATTAACAAAACCAGATTGTTGACCAGCCACTTGAGCTAACATTAGTTAGCTGTTCAGTTCATGCATACAAATATAAATGTTTAAAGTTTTGTCAGCAGGGAGATGCCACATAATGTTAGCTCAAATAAATTCTCCATGATTCAATTGTTCAGTTAATTTTACTGACACCATGAGTACCAAAGAATAATTCATTCAGATTCATCGTCATGGTAAGCAAGTGAGACGGAAAAAGGTGGTGACTCCCTACTTCTACGTCATTAAGTCTGCACCTTGATTACCAATAAGTTATTCATATTTCTTTAGTCTGTAAGGGTCCACAGATCAAACAAATCAAAAGAGTTTTTTATAAAAATGAATCCAGGTTTTAAATATTGTTTAAACAGGAAAAAGTGGTGTTGTGTCTTGGAGTGCTGTAAAACGAGTGTCGTAACTCTCTCTCCCTCCCTGATGCGCTGTCTGTCAGAGCTGTATCAAATGAATGATTCATTATTGATATCATATTTGAAGTCTAACTTTTATTCAAGTAATATTCATACTGGTTTAAATAAACAATTTCATAGAATTTCCCATGTTTACTGAGCAACAGTTTAGTGTAAAAGGAATAAAGGCCTGTCCCAAATATAGGCCGATTGAGTTCAGTGTTTTAAAGGGAAATTTCGGTTTATTTCAACCTGTCTCCTATCGTCCTAAATTTGTTTCAAGTGACTAGTGACATAAAAATAATAGTTAGCATGTTAACCGTTAGCCTAGATACAGCCGGGGTGCATAGCAGGGTTATAGCACCTGTGCATAGCACCTGTTAAAACGTAAGTGAATGGGCATACTTCAAGTGCAAAGTTAGTCCACTAAACAAGCTTTTTTCCCACAAAGACCGCCTCATATCGTTAGGATAAATGTCAGATAACATATAGAAAACGACATGTAAACGTGATGTCTTACCTTACCGGTGTGGTGCCATGTTTGTTTACCATTTAGCTCTGCTTTCCAAAGCGCGGCTGAAATATGGCGAGCTCTAGATAAAGCCTAGCTGGATACTACTCCAGGTGGAGGTGTCTCGTCCTCGGTCACATCCAGACCTTGAAAATAAGGCTGCAACCGGTCCCATTCCTTGCAACAGAGGCATTCATCTTCTGTGGGCACTGGGGCACAGCATTCACAGGTACACCACCAATCTCCAGAGCTATGCAGCCTTGCAGCAGCTCAAATAAATTGTTTACCATTTAGCTCTGCTTTCCAAAGCACGGCCGAAACATGGCGAGAACAAGCAGCGATATCATACCGTGCCTGAAATCTCGTGAGAACATGCAGCAACAGCTGGAAGGCAGAACCGGACAGTAGCCTGAAAAGTTAATTCATTTATTTTATGAAAGATTTATAGAATAATGGCTGACTTTTTGCCAGACTTCGACTTTGTGGAGGAGGAATTTGATTTTGCAGAGTTTGATGGCCGCCCTTATTTATTTAAGTCAGAATACACTGATGAAGAGCTTCGTGAAATTGAAGAACGGAGGAGGAGAGAGAGAGAGAGGCGCAACAGGTAGATGACGAGAGAGGAGGAATGGCTGCTGCAAAGCTGCGTAGCTCTGGAGATTGGTGGTGTACCTGTGGATGCTGGGGTCCATGTCATTAGTCCGACAGCCCATTGGTCCGACATCCCATTAGTCCGACTATCCGCGGTGCTGAACGGCTCCCGGCGGGCATATTTCTGCCTTGATGGTGCGCCGCAACCGGCTCTGGGTCAGCTGGGAAAGGCTTGAGGCGAAGCAGACTCACAGCTTATGTGTTTGTCACTTTCTTTTTCATTTTAACCCACACCATGATCTTTTCCTAACCCTAACCAAGTGGTTTTTGTGCCTAAACCTAACCAGACCTTAACCACAGGGCATGATGATGATTTTGGAACGGACTTTGGAACAATGTGTTTAATATGGTCGGAACAATGGGATGTCGGACCAATGGGCTGTCGGACCAATGGGCAGTTCCCGGATGCTGTGCCCCAGTGTCCACAGAAGAGGAATGCCTCTGTTGCAAGGAATGGGACCGGTTGCAGCCTTATTTTCAAGGTCTGGATGTGACCGAGGACGAGACACCTTCACCTGGAGTAGTATCCAGCTGGGCTTTATCTGGAGCTCGCCATATTTCGGCCGCGCTTTGGAAAGCAGAGCTAAATGGTAAACAAACACAACACCACACCGATAAGGTAAGACATCATGTTTACATGTCGTTTTCTATATGTTATCTGACATTTATCCTAACGATATGAGGCGGTCTTTGTGGAAAAAAGCTGTTTAGTGGACTAACTTTGCACTTGAAGTATGCCCGTTCACTTACGTTTTAACAGGTCTGACGCTACTAATGCGCCCCGGCTGTATCTAGGCTAACTATTATTTTTATGTCACTAGTCACTTAAAACAAATTTAGGACGATAGGAGACAGGTTGAAATAAACCGAAATTTCCCTTTAAGTAACTAATAGTCTGGGCTACTAGCTGAATTTTTTTAAAAGTTGCACTGTTTTTATTTCAACATACAGCTGTTTTATCTGGATCATAAAGAAGGCCTGCAGCAGAGAAAAACCTTAAGTCACTTGTATATTTATTTAACCGTTAAAAAAGATCATCAGATGACTACAGAAACAGAATATGAAACAACAAAGTATAAAACTACAGGAGATTCTTGATACTTATTCTCTTGCTGTAGGTGACTTTGGGCAGTACATTAACTCCATACCATAGCTGTAGTAAATGCTTGAAAATGCTTGCTTCTTAATGCTTGGAATTCTAAGGAATAGTTTAATATTTTAGGAAATATGCTTTTTTGATTTTCTTTGAGAGTGACATATGGAAATGGATAATAAGCTCATGTCTATGTGTTATGTAAAGAGCTGTAGCCAGGAGGTGGTTAGCCTAGCTTAGCATAAAGGCTGGAATTGTACAACATTACAGAAGCATATTGTATCTCCTTTGTTTAATCTGTACAAAAACAGATCATACCACAAACAGGCTACAGTTTGTGGATTTTGGGGAGTTACATGCTGGCACTCTTTCTTCACAAATGACTGGGTAACATTTTATAATAACCATCATGAATGAATGACTTTATTCTGAGCAAAAAAACAAACAAAAACAAGACAAACAAGACATCAACATAGATGCTCGAAAAGGAGTAGGAAGAAGTGTACATTTACATAATCCTACCCCATTCTCACTATTCATCTCTCACTTAAAAATTAGATTGCCATCAACTATCCCAGACTTATTTACAATCATTAATATAAATGAATACACAACAGTCTTAGATATTAAATATACAAACCCCATCTCAACTTTATTTACATCCCAAGTAACCAGAGCCAAGATAAATAAATAATCCAACCCATCAGCATAATCCTCTTTGTCTGCATACTTTCTAAGGCCCTGATCACACAGAGAGCATTTTACAGGTTGCAAAATGCAAACTCCCCTTTGTTTTTGTTTTTTTGTTGTTGTTTTGGGATGCCACTGGTAAAAACAATGCTTGTTGCAGCTTTTTATTGTTGCCAGGCAACCACCTCATCACCACCTTACCCTAACCCTCCTGTGTAATCAATCTACAGTTTATTTATTTTATTTTATTTATTTCACAGTAATTAGTAGCTAGTTCCTAAAATGGACAGGCAGAGGGTACTTGCTGTAGCTCTGGTTGAGGGTGAGAGGCCGTCAGCAAATACCCTAAAAAGACGGTGGATCATGAGCAGTACCAACAGTTTTTGCCAGCAAAAACACCAGGCGCCTAGAGTGCAGAAACGCGAGGCTCATGGCGACACAAAAACAGCGAGCAAAAAGCTTCATTCTCATTAAACACAATTACAAAAAGTAGCCTCCAGCTGCTGAAACACTTTCTGTGTGATCAGGGCCTAAAAATGCTGTCTCTTTACACCCTTTTAAAGTGCTCTATAGTAGTGCTTCCCTCTAACTCCTCATCTAATACATTCCACAAATCCAACCCACACATTGAAACACACCTACTTTTCAAAGTTGTACGAACACAGTGGTTTTTAGATTGAATTTTTCTCTTAAATTATATCCCCCCTCCCTGTCACAAAACATTTTCCTAATATTGCTTGGAAGTAGATTATTTCTTGCTTTGTTACATTATTTGTTCTGTTTTAAATTCAACCAAATCCCAAAATTTCAGTGCATATGACTTTAAAAACAGTGTTTGAAGCAAATTAATCAGCTGTGATGACCGATGGTGTGTCTAAACCAGGTGTAGTGACATTATGTTTATGGATAATAGAACACAAGAAGACAGGAAGCATATGCAAACTTTTTCAAATTAAAATCTAAAAAAAAAAAAAAGATTTTGAAATGGAATGCCTGTAAATACTTTAAGTTTTATCATCACAGTCAAACCAGATGTGATAAGAAGTGCTCCTGGATCTCAGGGTTTATGAAGAGATAAATTGAAAAGGCAATGCTGACGCAAGAAACAGATTTTTTTTTCACCTCCTGACTTGATGAAAGAACATGGCATTAGATCTCTTTCTTAGATGGAGAAGATATAAATGGTGTTATAACTTTTCACTTCCAGCCATTAGAGTAATATATTGAGAGACTTCTGGGACAAGCGTGGAGTCTAGATTTTAATGGCCCTGTCTCATGTCTGTGTGGATTTTCATAATCCTACAGTGAGGGACATTAAAAGATATTTATATAGTTGAAACTGGAGTGCTCAGTGCCCCCCAGGCTCTTCTGACGCCTAACTGGAAGAACTCAGTCTGTCTCATTGTGCTGGAAAGTCTTTGGAGGGGCTAACATGAACACACGTGGGATCAGACAGACGGATACTATGGATTCTTTCAGGATTTATGCTTTGAGAGACAG